TGGAGGTTGCCCCTTGCACGAGATGTGGCTCATTCTCTTTCTCCTAACTTCTCTCCTTCACCTCATCGTATAATCCTATATACATGTAGAGGCTTGTAGTACTTCGCCCTCACACGCTCAAGAGATGGCAAATTGGCAATCCAATGATAAATCCTTAGACCTCATTAAATTCCTATTGAACACTCATCCGTCTGTGTGTAATCACGAGCATTAAGATTTTAATATGGTTGGTGGCTCATCACTCTACTATGACACAATTAACTTAGAGACCTAGGCTTTGTTTGGAACAAATCTTTCCCAAGTTCTATCTTTTTCTTCCACGCAATGCTAAGCTGCTAAATGATGGGTTTTGAAAAAAAATATAGGAAAGTTACTTTAAAATATAATATTAATCTATTTTAAGTTTTAAAACAATACTTACCTCGTTTTCCACGTCAATAAGATGGGTTCGAAACGTGCACTCTCGTACTCAGCCTTATCATGTTAATTTTGTGTTAATATATTGTTTGCTAAGAGAATTAATACTTGCTGGCGAAGAGGCAACGCATCATCCTTTACAAAACAGCTAGTGATTCTCGCAACAGACTGCATGCTTTCAACTATTTATCTAATAAACTTGTCCATTCATCAGAAAAAATAGAAGAGAAAATCCTTTGCCGGGATCTCGGTAGTGGATTGTGAATCATCCATGTGTGGGTTCAACTCCCGTAGTTCGCCCATCACTTTATTTTAAATTCCATAAATATAATTTTCTATATACCTAATTATTTTTTTATTCATTTATTCATTTATTGAACATATAAGATATAAGTATTGCATGCCAAACAAATGAATTTTGCATTACTAGAATTAACCCATGTTTTCTTTTTTTTAAAAAAAAGTAGAGAATCAACCCATGTGTTTTGTGCACAATTCTTGAATTCCAAACTACTAGACTTTAAATTAGGCGTGACTTTTGACTCGAACGCTTCAATTTTCTTAAGATAATGGACGAAAGTCTGCCTTCAATTCAACAAAAGCTACAACCAATTATTACATAATTATTGGCTTAAAGCCCCGAAACTTAGCTACCATAAAATGAAATGGAAGACAAATAACAACTCCACCAAAAGAAGTGATATAACTTATTCAAACAACAATCCTATTAGAAAATAGGCATCCAAAGTCGGCGAAAATTTGCATAATTGTAATTTCTAAATTTAGGCATGGATTCCTTCTCCTCATCACTCATTTGTAGATTTGCCCAAAATCAAAGCTAATATGTTTCTCTAAGAGTAACTGCATATAAGATTTAGTTGGAGTTTTATAAAAAAAATTATATCATTCCTACTTAGCCATAGAACCTAACATAAAGTAGATGCTCCTACTTATATAATTTTTTTTGTTTTTGAGTCTATGTAAACAAGCCAATTTAGGGGTGGCAACGGGGCGGGCGAACTAGGCTGGAACGCCCCCACCCTCACAAAGGCAATGAGTGAAAAACATCACCCACCTCCACCCCCGCACAGGACCCGGCGGGTGAGCATGGCCCCGCATTGCCAACATAATTATAAATCACAAAAATAGACCTCAAATTGCTTCTGATAGCAATTCAGAGAGAGGCGCGGTTGCGCGGAGAAGGGCGGTGAACAGCAGGGCTGGGTGGTGGAGATGGAGGTGGGGCGGTGGCCGTGACGGTGATAGCCCCTAGCAGTGGTGATCCAGATCCAGAGGCCGACGGAGGAGAGTGGCACCGCAGGAAGGAAGCACATGCATTCTACCCGAGCGTAGGTGGAGGGCGACGACGTTAGGAAAGGAGACGATGAAAGACGTGCTAGAGGTGGAGAGGGCCTGCAACAGCTGTGGGGAGGTGACGAATTAACGATGGCTAGGGGCGGCGACGGGGCTGCCGGGGCAGCCGAGCTCTGGGCGAGGTGCGCATGCCCTGGCTAGACCCGAATCCCCCATTCCCTCCTGGAGCAGCGCTCCAACGGCTCGTTGGCTGGGGTGGGAAGTTGGCGATTGAATGGTGTGGAGGAAATTAGGGCATAGTTATATACTCCTTCCCTTAATGGGTCGGCTGGGCCTTGAAATAGGCTATCCCGGGGCCCTGCGGGTGACCAGCGGGTCAAACCCCTCCCCCATCCCCGTCCCTGCATATTTGCGAGGCCCCCAGTCCCCACTCAGATGCAGATAAAAATTCTTACCCGTCCCCTGCTCCAACATGAAAATTGTCACCCCTAAGCCAATTACTCTCTCCATCCCAATCATCTCATAAGGTTTTTAAGATTTTCTCAAATTGATTATCATCTAAGATGTTCTATTAGTTTATTCATGTAGAAATAAATAGTATCATTGCATATCTGTGCAGGATTAAATAACTTTTGCATCCAATTGCTCGTTTGTGTGCCCACATGCCTTGATATGCATGTGGGCACACAAACAAGCAATTTGTATGAGGGAAATTCATTTTCTCACTTGAAACTAAAGGAGATAAAAAAGGGGAGTGCCATGACAAACTTACCTGCACCATGTCCCAGCGAAGTAGTTGGCATGGCAACAGCAATTAGAACCACTAGCACAGTCACCAAGAGGAGAGAGTGAGCAGAGGCTAGCTCTTGGCTTTGTTCATCCCTATTTTTCTTAGGGCATGTTTAGTTCGCGAAAAGAAAATTTTTAGGTATCATATCAGATGTTTGACCGGATGTTGAAAGAGGTTTTCGGACACGAATGAAAAAACTAATTTCAAAACTCACCTGGAAACCACGAGACGAATCTTTTGAGCCTAATTAATCCGTCATTAGCATATGTGGGTTACTGTAGCACTTATAGCTAATCATGGACTAATTAAGCTCAAAAGATTCGTCTCGCGATTTCCGTTCTAACTGTGCAATTAGTTTTTTTAATCTATATTTAATACTTCATACATGTGTTAAAGATTCGATGTAATATTTTTGGGAAAAAATTTTGGGAAATAAACCAGTCCTTAATTTCACCTTTGTATCTTGGATAGCCTTATCTTGCTCTCTCTTATATTAACCCTTCAAGAAGCTTTCTGGATAGATATAGGCCCGGTTTAGATCCAACCCCAAAATTTTATACTCTGTCACATCGAACGTTTGAATATCTGCATGAAGTATTAAATATAGGCTAAAAAATTAATTGCACAGATTGCGACTAATTTGTGAAACGAATCTTTTAAGCCTAATTGCTTCATGATTTGACAATGTGGCGCTACACTAATCATTTTCTAATGATTGATTAATTAGGCTTAATAAATTCATCTCGCGGTTTACTGACAGATTCTGTAATTAGTTTTTTATTAGTGCCCGATATAATATCCGATGTAACACGCTAAAACTTTACGCCCCTGAATCTAAACACCCCCATAGTGTCAAAAGATAAAAAAGGAAAAACTTCTACTATATTTGGTCAGGGTCTCAGGTATAGGAACTTCCGGTAAGCACTCACCACCATGTAGACCTTATAAGAGAGCAAATTTAATAGTACAGCCCACTACTAGCTCCAATTCATCTATAGCCAATCTAATAGCCAATTCATACAATAGTTGCTTACTATACTATTAATATATGGTCCCACCTGCCATACACATATTGAGTCTTGGAGTCCGCGCTGTAGCTGGCTACAGATCTGTAGCCCGCTGCTTTTATCTCTCATCGTTTATCTTACTAAAATATATTTACAGCTGGCTAATAGCCTGTTATTGTACCTGCTCTAAGCACTCAGTGCCATGTAGACCTTATAAGGTTACACTTTGACCACTGACTGACTTATCACTTGATGGCATCACTAAAATTTACTGCTTGTCTAAAAAGAAGTCAAATTCTAACGATGAATCTGAATTTGCTTGTCTAGATTAATCATCAGGATTGGACATTTTTTAGACAGATAAAGTACTTTCACAGCGCGTAGTCCTGTGGTTTTTAAAATTCTTGATTATTTATGCCAAATCAAACTGTGGTACATCGATTTCGAAATAAAAGTGTCAAATTTTGTGCTTTAACGTTACTAGAATGCAGACTCGATTGATTCCTACTTCGGGATTGTACGGTGTTTGCATTTCAAAAATAATAAAAATCCAACGGTTCATAATAAAAGGTACCATCTCAAAGGTATAGGTAGTTAGGTTGGTAGAGAGGGTAAATATATTGCTAGGAGATGTAAAAATATAGAATTGTCTTTAGTGTTAGTTGTAGGTTAGATATGTACCGTGTAGGTAGTTTATCTCTATCTCTAATTCTGTTTTACGTTATTTGCATGGTTTCTCTTATATTTACATTTTGCTCATAAGAAACACAAATCGATTAAAATACCACTGAATGTTTGTATGATTGTTTGAAGATTTAAATTTTATCCAAAAAACGTGAAATCTTGATAAAATCACTTCTGGACGAAACCACAATTAATAAACTGAAATATGAATATTTTAGTGTTGGACAGCAAGACCTGGCTTTAATCCTTAATAAAACCATCTTGCCATCTTTCTGCACATAAATTTGGAAACAACCTCCTGATTGAGGTCTATTTATCGGCTGGTATTTGCATGTATACAATGGTTGAGAAGATTTAGATTGTTTGGCATGCTGTCCGACCTCGCGTGGCAGCTTCCCGTGTTCTGCAAGCTCGTCCTTGCCAATCTTGCCATCCTCCTCGGTGCCGGCATACAAGCAAAACCCACAAATCGAATATGCAGCTTATATCGGTGATCGAACGTGCATGGTGTTGACGCCGGTGATACGATGGAGTAGAGCGATTTGGCTTTGTGAGTGGTGTAATCTGATCCAATTCCAATCGATGCATATTTTTTATTAGCTATTTACTCCACTGCTATCGGTTACAATAATTCATTCCCATACCTTACCCCTCTCTCGATCAATTGTCTACATAGCTAAACTTCTCAATACCTCTATGTACCTCGCAAACATGGTAAAACTTCTCCCAAATTATATGGTACAGCCTGCATACTTCGTAGTACAGAAAACAAATAACAAGATGACTCCTGTCGGCTCGCCAAATTCATGTCTTCGTTTTATTCAAACACAACTATATAGAGGTACATGCACCATATAACACAAGGTACAACATTCTCTGAAAGAACGTACGAATTCTCGTCACAATTCAGATGTTGGTTAATCTATACGTTTACTTGTCATAGTTCTCGTGGTACAAACGTATAGCTTTATCACCTAATAGTGTAACCATATATGGCTCAAAATCCCCTGCTGGAGCAAAGGAAGCGAAGGCCTTGAGCATAGCTTTGTTTTTGCCCAGGTTTCATGGCGAGAGAGGTGATAGTGGAGGTGGGCATGGAGATGGAACATTCGGATCGTTTGTGTTGCACGCAGGACCTACGGCCTGAGCATCTTGTTGCATGGCAGCTGTGGATTGAACTCCATGTGGATCACCCAAAGCACGCCTCCCTGGTGGAAAAATTCATGTGAGCACAAAATAATCTACAGATGAGATGCTCATTATCTGCTCGATCATATAAGATGCTTTAAATTAACAATTGTCAGTTAACTCAAGTTTATTTTTAGAAGGCCAGATGAGGCGACTCTCGAAGAAAAATTTGCTCTTTTTTTTTTCAAGATAGTGGAAATGGTTTACATCTCCCGTCTTTGCCGTATCATGGGACGTTACGGCCGGCCAAAGAAAATTTTGTTTCTAACCTGAAATTGAAGAGGAAAAAAAATATATATGTGGGGATAAGGATCTCAACTGTACCTATACTGAGCCCCAGCAAAGCTGTTGGCATAGCAAGAACAATTAGAACTGCTAGCACAGTCACCAAGATAAGGGAGTGTGTAGAGAACCTTCGCTTGTTCATCTCTGTTTCTCTTTTAACTTCACCGTTGTATTTTATCTACCCTTCACCTTATGCTTAGCTGGTTTGTTTTAGCTTGCCTTCTTGCTATCTCTTATACCGACCATCCAAAGGAATTCTCTCAAAGGATAAGGCGTAAAAAGGAGAAGATAATATTCTACTAGATGTGGTTAGGAGTAGAAAGCTTCTGGCAAGCACTCACTGTCAGATGGGCCCCCTCATGCTTATTCGAGTGGCGCTTCATCAACTGTTTACGCTTGCTGTGAGATACGTTGATGCAGAAAGCAACATGCAGCATTCTGAAGATTGCAAGTGCAATATAATGTCCAAACAAACAAGGATGTATGTATATAGTCACCAATTTTTTGTTACTCCGTCACTAGCTAACAAATATAAAGCTTCAAACGTCCAATGGACGAAGAAAATTAAACTGCACATAAATGGTTTGATCATTGGATTAAGAAATGGTTTCATTTGATCTTTCGAGAAATGCTTTCAAATTTTTCACACAAATATATTCCTTTGAAATGGACATGTTGATGCGAGTGAATCTGCCATCCCCAGCACCTCATTACATTGTTTATTTATATACTACTCTCCTACTTTCTTTCACAATATATATAGGGACAATTGCATCTATGCCCCTACTTTCGAATTGCTGTTTTACCTCCACTTTTTAGGGTTTACAGTTTTACTCCTACTTTTTAAATCTGAATCAGTAGTGTACCCCCACTTCTAACAGCTGGTATTAACGGTGTTAGTTGTAGAAAAAATGACATTTATACCCTTGGTGGTTATTGCATTTGTGCCCCATTTTTTCAGCTTTGTGTGATTTTACCTCTATTTTGTGATTTCAGCTTGTGTGATGAGCATTTCGACCAAATATGAGCATCTCTTGTGATGTTTTTGTACTTTAAAAAAATCACAAATACTAGGCAATTACAAAATTTGACCAAAATTCAGAAATACTAGCCTTCATGGTCGATGCTCTGGACCATGAAGAGGACGACGCAGGCGTTGGTGAGGAACTGCAGCGGCGACGCGAGGTAGTCGAGGCGGAGCCGCATCCACCAGGCGTAGGAGGCGGCGAAGAGGCCGTCGATGGCGAAGAGCGACACCACCTCCTCGAGGTGCCACCCCTGGAGGTAGGCGGCTACCTTGACGGCGAGCAGCAGCAGGGACAGGATGAGGAACACCCGGATGCAGCCGTAGGAGCGTGCCCGCAGCACCGTGCTCTCTCCCGCTAGCCCTCGACGCGGTCGCCGCCTGCCTTGGCCATGCAAGGACTGCGGCCGCCGCCTGCCATGCTGCGCCCCCGGCAACGCGTCCATCGCCTCCCTTCGCCGCACTTGGCCGCCGCTTGCCTCGAATAGGTACGGCCACCGCACGCGGGAAGCTCTGCGACCGCCGCTTGCGTCGCCAGGGAGGGGCCACCGCGTGCGGGAAGCCCTGTGACCGCCGCCCCGCCGAATAGTTCGCCTAAACCTGTGATGTTTAGAGTTGTCTAGAGGGTTTGCTGAACTGTTAGTCCTTTCTTGGTAGAAATTTGTGGCTATGCCCAAACTTGTAAGGTGGTCCAACCCCAAACAAGAATTTACGGTTGTGCCATTTTATAAAAGCTGGGCCTATCACTAGAACGGATACCCTCATCTCAATCGGGCACAGCGTCCGTCACAGGCTAGAAGTCACTAATGTGAAGAGTTATCTCAATCGGGCAAACGGTCGTCACGGATGAATCTATCTCAATCGGGCCCTAAGTAAAGCCCGTCACCGATAGCTTTGACCTAGACGATCAGTCAAACTATAGCCCATTACAGATGACCAATCTCAATCGGGCCACAATTAGCGCCCGTCACAGATGACTACTAACCTTTATCGGGCCTAAACTAGAGCCCGTCACAGATGATACTCATCTCAATCGGGCCTAAACTAGAGCCCGTCACAGATGACTGCTGACCTCAATCGGGCCTAAACTAGAGCCCGTCACAGATGACTACTGACCTCAATCGGGCCTAAACTAGAGCCCATCACAGATGACTATCATCTCAATCGGGCATTTAGCTATGGCCCGTCACAGATGACTATAATCCACAAAAAAATAAAATTTGTTTTTTGGCTAGCCTCAGGCCTTTGCTAGCTATGCCCGCTGCAGAAATGACAGAAACAAACACAGATATCCAATATCCCCAGCCCCCCAGCATCACCCATTCATATACATATGCATTCACATACACATACATCAATATATTTCACACAACCACACATTCACAGCCATCTCATATTTCACATCCATTCACATATTTCACATCCATTCAAATATTTATCATATTTCACCTGCAAAACTGAGTTAATTGGATCAAATATTTATTTAGCAAGTCTTAACATAAACATATGAAATATATACATAAATATAAGCATCACAGTTACATCATCACAGTTGCATAATAAGTGTTAATCATTGCCTAAACATAAAAGTTCAACATTGTTCATCATTTTAGTTTAAGCCTAAACATTCCTTTGGGGTTAATTATTTCGCGGAGGATGAAGCTGGCTATCTCCTCGCGAACCTCCTCAAAGCTGGTAGGCAGAGACTTGGTTATTGTGCCCTACATTGTCATAATTCCAGATTAATTGATCGATCATATATAAGTACTAAAATGTAGTTAGTCTATCACAATTGAGACCACCGACCTCAAACTCTGCCAAAGTCTTCACCTTTTCTCTGTACAGAAGGCGCATATTGTGGCACACATGGAATCCGCACTGGTCACCTATTTGTTGTTTCACCGGGAAGTCTTTTTTGTGGATAAGGGTGTCATGTCCTGTCTTCCTGAGGCCTCCTCTTTGCACGTATTGGACCCACGCTTCATCTATCGCTAGTTGAATTGGGGTCCAATCATATGCGTTCTTATCAATTCTAGAGTTCAGGTAGTGACATGTACTCCACTTAGGTGTTATGACCAGAAGGATCCAATGGGTACTGCGGCATTAATATAGTGAAAGTTAATTAAGTACTGAAGGAATGTTTCATGCTGTTGTGTATATTTAGATAACACACTTACTATTGATTATAGGCGCACATAATGTACTCCTTATCTCGGTGGGACCACAAGGTGTCGTAGATGTAGTTGACCATTCCTTGACGGTCATTCTGGAGATTTGTGACAGTGACCACTTATGGATCAAGGAAGGCAACTTCCGGTGCATTCTTCTGACACCATTGCCAACTTAACCTACACACAGGATAAACGATCTTGTTAGCGAGTTAATCCGATTGTTATTACCAGATTAAGTTGTGCGACAATACTTACAAGGAGTAGCACTTAAGGAGGCTTGTGTCCACCGCTCGGAGCCTGTAGAGGTCGAATAGATCCTTGAAGTCGACAACGATATAATTTGTTGGACCAAGGAATGGCTTTCCATCGTGCTCTCCAAGGATATTGGTAGCTTTATTCGGCTTCCTGGCGTTAGATTTCTCCATGTAGTATGCGTGAAGGTCCTTGCAAGCGGTGCCCATTGCGGCAAGCACGTCATCTCCAACCAATGGCATGCCTAGTTGGAACTCCTGTGGAGCGACGTATTTCTTCTTGACCTCTTTGCCCTTAGCCTCTTCCTGGCCCTTGCCCAGATCTAGCTTCCTTGGAGCTAGAAGCGAGGACTGCACCTTTCCTCCCCTTCCTCTCCCCTTTGCTTCGGGTTTATCGAGAGTAATTCTCTGAGGGGAAGAGTGTGCCTTCCTGCTCTTCTTCATCGGTGGGGGTTCATGAATCGCCTTGCTGTCGGCCTCCGTTCGGTCCTCCCAAAAATCCGTGTCGTACTGCAACTGCATATCGTAAGATTATGCATGACGATCTTGAGCAGGAGCAGGAGGGACTGAAGGAGCAGAGGCGGGTCTCTTTGGTGGACGACCGCCTGGTGCAGTGGTTGGCCTCACTGTAATCCTGATCTCAATGAGGTCCTTGGGCCATTGGATGAAGGTACCACGGGCATTTCCTAGTGAGAGGACCTCGTCATTCGGTGGATACTTTAGTGGGAATAGCTCATATTCCAGCTTCACCGAGTCGACTTGAACTTTTGCACAGTCGCTCCTGAGTTGCGCTCCATGCACTCTTGTCTCTGGGGTCGGCTTGTACGCAAGTCCCTCGGCTGCTGGAACCGTGAAGGTCGGCATCACCCTAACTGTGAGGGTGCAGCTCGTTGGTTCCTGCGATAGATTAATCAATTTTTTTAGAATATTATATATCATATGGATTCGTTAAGTCTTTCATGCATTGTGGATGAAACTTTTACCGTTATGTGGTCGATGGCGCTGTCGACCGATGTTGGATTTTCCGCCACCTCAGTTGATGTGCAACTGCTACGTTTTTGGGTGGGACTTCCTAACTCTTCGTGCGCACCAGCGGCGGCAGCCTGGGGGTTCTGTTGCTCTTCTCGGATCTCTTGCCTAATCTTGGCCCTCATCGACTCGAGCTTTTCGTCGAATTCAGATGTCAGCTCAGCTCTTATCAACGCCCGGATCTTGGCTTCAAGGCGTGCATCTTTCTCCGCCTTGTTGGAAGTCCACTTCTTGTACTGCCACGCGTAGTCTGGAAATCCATACTTCCAGGGAATAGAAGACCCAACGCCCCGTGTCCGTCCACGGTGTTCCTTGTTGCCCAACACTTTCGTGAGGAGGTCATCCTCATATCTTTGAGAGCAGGCCTCTTGCGAGGCTTGTTGCTCAGCAACCAACTCCTTCTGCATTACAATTTAGTGGGGTTAAATAAACTGCATGATCGGAAACAATGCGAACATCTAGTTTGACTAGACACTTACTATAGCTTCGTACACTCGTTGATCTTCTGGATTTGGCATGAAGATTGTGCCATCATCCTTCTTCTGGTACCTGGCTCTGGCCCAGTTCCTAGCCCGAGGGTGTGGGATATCGCCAAACACGAGCGGCGTGTTTGATTCCTCCGCTTCTTCATCCTCACGCTGCCATTCCTCTTCCTTACCGGCATATCCGGCAGTGCCAAGCCGATGTGGATGCTGGTTCTTGGTCTGGAGCAAACGATATGCCTCGCTACTAGATCTGGACTCGGGGGTCGACTTCTTCGTA